AGAGGAGAGGAGAGGAGAGGAGAGGAGAGGAGAGGAGAGGAGCATATGCTCACTTTATTATTAACTTGCATTACTTTCATTCCTAGTAATTAAAACTTACAAACTTTATCAAGAACAGGAATTTGTGAATTAGGTTTAAACAAAAACAATTTTTTTACCAAATCTGGAAATGTTTTTTATTGAACTGTTTTGTTAAATTCTGCAGAATTCTTTTAATAAAGCTGTCAGTCCAAAAGCAACCCAACAGTTTTTAGGTAACTCTAAGCAAGTAAATATGTGTGATGATTTGATGGGGGGAGATGGGAAGGTCATGTGTAAAAGCAGTATCTGAAATAATGAATAAAGTAATTCTTATCATTTTTCCTGGTTTCACTTACATATCTCCTACACAAGGTAATTCAAGATAGTTAATTCCAGTGAATATACTGAGTAAATAACGGGTGGTTTAGTTAAACTGCATAAAATCCCTGTGTGAAAGCTATAATGAAAATTAACTATAGTTTAATTCAATGAGTTCAAATTGCTTCCAAAGTAAATCAAGCCAAATCAAATTAAGGTCATTACAGTTTTCTGTGAGACAGACCAATCAGGGGTTCAACACAAATTACTCATATGACTTAAATAACTGATTCAGAATGATTTTTCTGAGTGTCTTTCCCCATTCAGTCCATCCCTTAGACTCAGTCAGTGACACCACCTACAGAGCACTCCTATGGGGCTGCCCAAGAAGGCAACAGCCTGCACTGGCAGAAATGTCCTCTGCCTGCCAGGTCCCCAGCACAGGAGAGGATGCCACAGGAGACAATGTTGTTCTGGCAGCTGAGTAAAGTTCACTCAGAATATTGACAGATTATTTACGTGAGTGCATGCCAAACTCACCTACAGTTAGTTCCCCTTTCAAAGCTGGGCATTGCCTGAAAAAAGGCTTAAAAATTCATCTAAGATGACAGAAATCTATTTATAATAGCAGAGTTATTTAGAATCAGAGTGTTGCATTAGGAGAGCTTTTCACTGAATACAAAACAGAATATCAGTAATATCCCACTAAATACAAAAAAGAATATTTCTTCCTTCCTCTAAGAAATAAACATTTCATTAATTATCTTTTATTCATTTCATGCAGGTTTATCCCTGGTAAATGTTACCAAAAAGAAAAAAAATGCAGTCACTGGTTGCAACCAGCGCAACTTCATGTGAGGGGAGACCTGCTTGTTGAATGTGATTTTCTTCTCCAACAAGGTAACCCACCTAGCTGATCTAGGAAAGCCAGCAGATGTGATCTTTTTGGACTTCAGCAGAGGTTTTGGTACTGTCTCTCACAGGATCCTTCTGGAACAAATGTCCTGCACACAGCTGGATAACTTTGTTACGTGATGGGTGAGCAACTGAATCATGGATCAGGCGCAGAGTGACAGTCAATGACATCAGGCTGGTGTCCAGACACTTGTGGGGCTCTGCAGAGCTCCATCCTTGGCCCATTTCTTTTCAATAGTTTTATTAATGACCTGGACACACGACTTGAAAAAATATTAAATTTGCCAACAAAACTAAATTGGGAGAAGCTGTCCTTGAGGGCACAGAGGCCCTGCAGAGAGACCTTGACAATTAGGAGTGATGGGCAATCAGCAACCATGTAAAGTTTAACAGGGGCAAGTGCTGAATTTCATACCTTGGATGAGGCAGCCCTGGATGTGTGTGAGGATGGGGAATGAGAGGCAAGAAAGTGGAAAGGCACCAAGGGATTCAGGCTGATGGCAAGCTAAACGTGAGTCAACAATGCCCTGGCAGCCAGGAGGGGCAACTGTGTCCTCCTCATGAGAGGCATCTGAGAACATTTGGCTTGTTCAGCCTGAGGAAGAGGAGACTGAGGGGAGACCTCATTGTGGTCTTCAACATCCTCATGAGGAGAAGCAGAAGGGTAAATACTGATCTCATCACTCTCGTGGCCAGTGACAGGACTTGAGGCAATGGCCTCCAGGGCAGATTTAGGTTAGATATCAGGAAAGGTTTCTCACCCAAATGAGGATCAGGCACTGGAGCAGTCTCCCAGTGCAGTGGTCACAGCACCAAGTCTGAGTTCAAGAAGTGTTTGGACAGTGCTCTTGGGCACATGGTGTGACTCTTGGCATGTCCTGTGCAGGGCCAGGAGTGGGACTCAATGATCCCTCGGGTCCCTTCCCACTCAGCATATTCTGAGTCTATGATTCTTTTGCCTGAGATAGTTCATCTGTCAAAGACACATACCAGATATACACTTTGACCTTGAGGATTTGCCAGTCTGATTTTAATCTAGCTGAACAATTTACTTTTGCAAGGGGGGGGAAAGGGTCAGTTCCAACAATCTGCTGAATTTGAACAGAATTTCAGTGAAACTTGTACTGCTGTTTATTCACGCACTTTACTAGTCATAGAAATCATGTAGAATTTTATTCCAAAAAGCTAGCATCTACTGAGCCTAAGTAAACAGAAGGATGTCAGATAAATGGAATTCTAAGACAAATTTAGAGCAGAATAAAATGTGTCATTGTACTACATTTATGACAGCCAATCATTTTTGCTTTTGCCTAAACTGGTCACAAGTAACAGTCATCAAAAATGCAGATGGTTAGAAACTATTTATTTGATATCAACACCCACTTATGGTGAAATAACTCAAGCTTATAATATATGATATAATTATATAGAAATCAAAATTTGTGTTTAAGAACTGTATCAAGGAATCATTGAGACATATGGGCAGATCTGGCACTTGACTAATTTTGTTTGGAGCTTCTGAAAGAAATTCTGTGGACTGCCTTGGCCAGTATATTAAAGTGCTTAAATTTTTACTCTTAAAAACATTTTGTTATGTTACATTCAAAATCTTTCTTGGCTTAAATATGGCTGCTACTTCTTGCCCTATTTAGAAGGGCTCATGGGCAGTGGTTTCTTTCTTTTGTCTTTACAACTGTTTTTATCATATCCATGTTGTAATTCCTCTTCTCCAGACTAAACTACCACAGTTTCTTTCTTTACAGATTTTTTTGTTAGATCCTGCACTAATTAGACCACACTGAATGATTAGGATGCCCAGACTTGCAACTATTTTCAGTTTACATGACCTTTTTCCAGCAGCATATCCTAAACAAGAGTAATGTAGAAAGGCACAGCCATATTAGAATTCAGATATGCATATTTCAACTGTAATTTATTTTTTCTAGAACATTGTGGTTTTCTGCTTACTGGACATTTTGCAACATGTTCAGTTTTTGATTTTACTCTAATCCGTATCTTGACTTGATATCACTATGATGGAGTCTCATCAAGCTGACACAAGACAACTATTCCTAGTGTGATGCTCTTTGGCACAATTTGATATGTTCCTCTTCTTTGACCACTGAATCAGGGGAACACAAACCAACATGTCAAATAGCATTGAGTAAACTATTACAGTACATGGATGCTATCTTTATTTTATTCTTCCTATAATGAATGGTTTGTACACATGACAGCCAGTACATTCCACATTTGAAAGAAGTCTGTCAATCATTAAAGAGAGACAAATCAGAAACTAAGATCTGAATAATGTGTTTGCAAAACAGCCTGTGCCAATCTTGTTTTGATTTTGAGCTTTCTATTCCCTAGCAACTGTAAGTCACAGCATTACACCAAAGAACAAAACAAGTTCTGTATATTCAATGCATGCAGACCTACATGAATGTACCAAAGCCATGCTTTCAAATGCATTTTGAAAAATTTCCAATATCTTCTTTTTTTCCAAATGCAACTGCAGAAATAAAAAAATTATTATCCAGTTTTCATGTTTGAGCATAAAAGAGATGTTAATGATTATGCAATTCTTCAGGAAATATGGGTTTATTTATAACTAAAGGATATTTTTCAGTAATGTGCTTCCAAAAGTCTTTTTCATGTTGTCATGTATTCTATTTCCCTTAAATGTATTATATAGTATATAAATAAAAATTGCAGTTATGCATTCAGGGATAATCCTTTTTATTGCTACTATTATTATCATTATCATCATCATCATTAATAATGCTGATTACATTTACAGATTGGCCTCTCTCTTAAATAAGTTCTCAGCTAGAGACAATATGATGACCACATTCCGACACCTCTGAGCTTTTCCCTCTTTACATTAATTCATTTTTCCTCACTAATTTTGTCTGTGTTTCTTTGTGCTGTGCACTCCTTCCCACATACCTACATCGCATTTAATGCTGCAATTAAAGATGGATTATACTACAAAAAGAACTATAAAGGAGCCCTGAAGGATAGAAAACAGTTTCCCAAAACATTCAAGCAGTCTAAGTCTCCAGTTTTGCAGTTAGATCCTGAGAAGTTAAGAAATTATAGAGTCACAGATGGGTACAGCAAACTCTTTTTTTCCATCTCATTTTGTGCACTTTTTTGGCCAAACTATATTCTAGGTTGTTATTTATGTTGATGGATTCATTTATTGATATGCTGTTTAGCAGTTTCTCTGCTTTTTTGCCCAAGTGTAAGCCAAAATTTCATCAGAGGAACAATTACATCTGTTTCATTTTTTGCAGTGATCATAAGACAGAAATAACAATAATAATAAACTCTAGTACATTTTGATAGTGATGATGGTGGAAACTGGTTACAGATTAGTGTCTTGATTAAGAGGCAACACCAAATATTCAACAAATTTTAAATTATTTAAGTCCATTGGCATAATTTATTTTCTTACACACTGTAATTTTATTTCCCTCACCATAAATTCTTCTCCTATAATAAGATCTGACATGTTTTACTTGGGACATTTAATCATTATGAAAGTTCCTGAAGAAAGAGGAGTAGATAATTGAAAATAGGATAGTATAAAATTAATGATACAAGCACAAGAGATACAAAACTTTGCTTTTAGTCAACTAAATATCCAGTACCTTGAAACTGCAGCTCTTGGACAATATTCTCAAAAGCACCTAATGATCCTCATAAAAATCAATGATAGTTTTACAGTACAGACAGCATGACAATCTTCTATAGACTTTATACCCTTAAAGGAAGTGATTTAGATTCTATATATCTTTTCTAAAGCATAAATATACTGATGGTTTTGTATGTAAATAAACAATAGGAGTAGTCTAAAAGATTCAATGTTTCCCTGTGTCAAGCAAAAGAATTATCTTAAAAGTACTATAGTAAAAAGGCAATTAAAGTACAAGTCCAAACACCTGGTAACAAAATATTGAACAATTCCAGAAAATCTCATTGCATATGTTTAATTCATTTTTGGGAAATCATTATGAAAGAAGTATCTATGACTATGCATATTTTCTAAGTCAGACATAGTTTTGCTTACTAAATGAAATTTTATTACAAAAATCTTTTTTTTTGGTTGATAAAAAATGGATAAGCTGTGGCCCACAAGTTCAACTTGGAAAAATACCAGAAATATAGGTTTTTATTAAGAATTTTTTCTTAATGATAAAGTCTTGAAGGACATTCAGATATATCAAGACAATATAGTAGCTAGTGCTGCACCAGAAAATTTTGAAAATGTGCCTTTTT